ACTTGCTTACTCCACTACCAACATCTTCTAATTCAACAAGAGATCTGGTGAATATTTGAATATTTAGACATTTTATTGAACTATTTAAATTTTGTTTTATTTATTTACCTATTTAAGTTCATCTTTCTTTGTTTCGTGAGTGAGTTTAGAGAGTAATGGTGCGATTTGCATATTTGATGAGATAATGTGCTTGTACGATGCATTTAATAAGTATGAAAACTTAAGGATGAGAACCAGCCCAAGCGGTTTTCCATGGAGAATTACTCGAACACTTAAAATATATTATACAATAAACCAATTATAAGATCGAGAGACAGAAAATTGACGCTTTTTAAGGATTTTGCACTGTGCCTAACTTTAAGGGCTTTGTAGCCTTTGTCTTAATATAAAATCTATATACCGCAGTAGACTATAACTTTCACATTATCTTTTTTGTCCGTGGAAAGATGCCCAATAATACTATGACTGAAAAAAATTTAGAGAATCAGATAAAGAAGTATTTTGCCTATGGTCCAAACTTTTGTTTAGATTTTTTTTTTTAGCAAAGAGGGGCTACAAATTTGTGTTGGACGGACCCGTGAGTGACTATGTAGTATGGGGCATACATTATATTGAATTTGTGAATCTGCATTAGTGCATTGAAACTGGTGGCCCTTTTTATTTTAAATTGTGTATATTGAATTGAATTTGTGTTGGATTTGGATGGACTCGTGACTATGTGTAAACTTGTGGCCTTATGTTTTATTATTAATTGATGGATGTCTTTATAATTTACATGTCCAAAATTTTCTCTTTTATGTTTAGTTATTGTCAATAAATAAAAGAATATGATTTATGTGGATGTCTTATTTACTTAATGCATATTTTTATTTGATGGAATTGTAGATGTCATCGCCCACTGATAATACTCATGAGACATCGACAAGTACGACTCCAACTCTAACTCCAAATTCCATGCCACCATCAGCACCTTTAGGCCCCAAACGCTCAAGGGATACAAGTACTAGGAAGAATAGTTCTCAAATGTGGGATCACTTTGTTAAGAACGATTGTGAGAATAAGGATGATTTGACTGTAACATGTAGTTATTGTGGGAGTGTTCTAGCATGTCCAAGTAAGAGTGGTACAAGTTGTCTACGTAACCACATAAATAGATCAAAAAGTATCCTCAAAATGTGGCGGACAAGAGATAGAAGACCCTAATTTTTCAACAAGGATCACATGATCTCTCAAGCGGCATTGCTCTCTCTAACAATCTTCATTGGTGTCATGGAAATATGATCCAGATCTAATTAGAGAGGCTATAGCAAAAATGATCATTGTTGATGAGTTACCTTTTAGTTTTGTGGAGCGTGAGGGGTTCCGCAATGTGATGCATGTGACACAACCTAGGTTTCAAGTACCTTGTTGGAGAATTGTGACTAAAGATTGCTTCAAAATGTATATTGGAAAGTGCCAAAAGTTGAAGAAGTTTTTCAGTAAGTTTTCGCACAGAGTTTGTTTGACGACTGATACATGGACAGGTGTTCAGAACCTTAATTATATGTGCCTTACTGCGCATTTCATCGATGATCATTGGCAGCTACAGAAAAGAATTTTAAATTTCTGTCCAATCACTAGTCATAAAGGTTTAACGATTGGCAGGACAGTTGAGAGGTGTTTGCTTGATTGGGGTATTTATAAGGTATTCACAATCATAGTAGACAATGCTAATTCTAATGGTGTTGGGGTAAGCTATCTTAAGACTAGACAAGCAAGTTGGAAGGGAAGTGTATTGGATGGTGATTTTCTACACATGAGATGTTGTGCACATATTTTGAGTTTAATTGTGAAAGAGGGATTAAAGGATATGGATAACTCCATATTTAGAATACGTTCAGTAGTGAGGTATGTAAGGTCTTCTCCAGCAAGGTTACAAAGATTTAAGGGGTGTGTGGAGAAAGAAAAAATTGCAAATAAAAGTCATTTGATTCTTGATGTAGACACGCGGTGGAACTCTACATACTTGATGTTGGAAGCGGCATTAAAATTTCAGAAAGCTTTTGAGTTGTTGGCATTGGAAGATAGTAAGTATGTAGATGAGTTTACTAGTGGTGATAGGTCACGAGATTTTCCTATAAGTACTGATTGGGAGTATGCTCACTACTTGTTACCTTTCTTGAAAGTATTTTACGATGCTACTCTACGTGTCTCTGGTTCTTTTTATGTTGTTGGTAATGCATACACGCAAGAGATTTTTGGCGGTGGGTTGAAGATTTCAACATGGTGTAAAAGTCCTGATCTTGGCTTACGTAATATGGCTACACGGATGAAAGTGAAATTTGATAAGTATTAGTCAAATGTTGATAATATCAACATTATGTTATTCATTGTAGAGGTACTGGATCCTAGACACAAGTTAGAATATGTGGACTGGGTAATTAATGAGGCCTATGATGTTGTTGTAGTTGACAAGTTGATGAGAAAAGTGAAAGAAGCTTTGTTGTCTTTATTTGAGCAATACTGTTTGCTTATGGTGGATGACAATGAGCAGTCAAGTGAGAAATCTCAAGTTCCAATTGACATTGATGTGCATGATGCAAATGTTGATAATGAGGACTTCATGAGGGTTATGTACAATGAGAAAAAGGCTGCAAAGAATGTTGTTCAGCATAAAACAGAGTTAGATAAATATTTAGTAGACGATTGTGAGGATGACAACGACAAAACTTTTGATATCTTGAATTGGTGGAAGGCTAATTCAACAAAATATGTTGTTCTCTCTATGATAACACGAGATGTATTGACTATGCCTATTTCAACGGTTGCATTTGAGTCAGCTTTTAGTACGGGGGGTTGTGTATTAGATTCATTTCATAGCTCCCTTACTACTAAGATGGTAGATGCTCTTATATGTACACAAGATTGAATTAGGAATACGCGTGGACCATTGGCCATTGAGGAAAGCTTGGAGGAATTATCTAAAATTGAGTCAGGTGACCTTTTTTGTTAACTTTCAATTATAATTATATATTTTCCATCATTATTTATTATTTTAGCTAACTTGTTTGTCCAACTTTGTGTAGAGTTTTACTCTTCGGGAGTGGAAAGTAGTCTAACTCATCTTGATGATTGAAGGGTATTCCAAATTTCCAATAGATGAGGTATATTATCATTGATGATTAAATGATATAAGGTTTGGTTGGTTATGTTGGTTAAATTTTTTATACAATTGTTGTGAACTGATTTTCAATAATTGGTTATGTTCAAAAGTGGAAAGTAATGTAACTCATCTTGATGATTGTTGTGTTTATTTGTTTTAAATTTTTTGAACTAGTTTATGTAGTTAAAACTTATAAGGGAATTTACAAAGGAGACAAGCTCCACGTCTCCACCTGTTTTGCATTGCTATTATTTTGTGGACCACATTTTGCATTGATATTATTCGGTGGACCATATTTTGCATTGAATTTCTATTTTTAGAGAGCTGCTAACTATAAGTTTATTTATTGCACATGCAGATGTAGGCCTGGATATCTGAATTTTGAGGAAGACTTTTTTTATTCAATAGCACTATAGCAGATTGAAGAAGTTTGGACTTTGGCTTTGGAGATCTGAATTTTGAAGAAGATTTTTTTTTTTATTTGCAAATGTTTTTCAGTTTTTAATTATGCCAATGTTTTTATTAATGAGTATTGAGTAATGTGTAATTGAATTCTTTATGTTTTTATTTCATATTCTGGATTCAGTATCTGCAAATAGGTAATTTAATGTGTTTTTCACACAAAGAATAGAAAAATAATACCCAAATAAAGGAGAAAAACAGCATGAAATTATATATAAAATAATAAATATTTGAATTTAGGGACTTAAATGTAAAAATTGAAGAATTTTAGGGGTGAATTTGAAAACTGGTTAACCGAACCGAATATTCGGTTCGGTTTACAATTGGTTTATAACCAAAACCGATCCGGTTTCGGTTTGTATTTTGTCTAAACCGAATAATTGGTTTGGTTTCCGGTTTACCCTATCTAGTTTGGTTAACCGGATTATCCCGCCCCTACCAAGTAGGACCCAGAGTCCTACTAGAATTCAAATCCCTTGGGTTCACTATATAAACAGAGGCTGACTCTCTCATTATTCATTCAGAAATCACTCCTAAGCTCCAGCTCTCCTATTATCAAACACACGTTTACTTCAACTTCCCTACATTGTTAAAGCTCCCCCTTAGTCGTAGGAATATCCTCCGCAGGTCCATCAAGGTTATCAGTGGCTCACCCCACAAAATTCTGTCTTCAATTCAATTGTAAATTTTAGCATTTGCATTTTCCAAATCAATATCCACTATAATTAATATTAGCAAATTCGATTCAATGAGTATATATAAATGTGTAATAATGAAAAAAAATTACTATTATTAATTCTTTTATTTACTGTAGCTACAACAAATATGTCATAATATATTATATCAATCAAAACTATTACCAAGGCAATGTATAAAATAAAATACAAATAGCAATAAATCAAAATATTGAAATTTCAAAAAAAAAAAAAAAAAGACATAATGTCAAAATCAAATTCATAACCAAATACACATGATCCAAAAGATAAACATGTCGAAAACCAATTTCCCTTTTAACTAGTTGATAAATAATATTGGAACATTATCTACCATTTAAAAATAATTGGTAAAATAAAAAATATTTACAGAAAAAGGAACTTTCAACTAAATCCTGATTTGAAAAATCCATGAGACTACGTAGTTTTTAAATGACTGGCAAACACTTAACAAAAGGTCATGATAGGCATTTCTATGTAAAAGTATTAAATAATAAACATTTTGAATATGTAGGAAAAATAAAACTACAGGTTCGACAAAAGCTAGGGACTTTTCGGTAAAGAGGAAAGAATATAAAATAATTATAAATTGATCACCATAAAAATATGTTTTGAAGGGGTTTAAAATGTAAATATAATAACCTGGACCTTTTTTGGAACCGAGATTGAAAAATGAACCGCATTGTATTGTGTACTAAAACTACCGAATTTCATAAATGAAAGAATTTTGTAAAATAAACTACTGGGAATAAAATTATGAAATTTTAAACTATAACTTTTAAGGATTTTGCAGCTCTCACTTATTTTTCCATGATTTCTCTTCTCACTCTCTGTCCTCCCTTCGTTTTTTTGCTGTAAGTTTCGCCACTTTTCGCACTCGTTCAATCTTTCTTTTATATGTTTTTGTTTGATTTTGATTTCAGAAGGCGTGCATGAATCTCTAATTTTTTTTCAAGTTTTGGTATAATTGAATTTTCTCTAGGAATGGAAGAGAAATTGTTAACTGACGTTTAGATCTTACGAACTCTGATTTTTGCTTTATTTCTTTTGAATTAATTTTACGAGGAGTGTTGATTAGTTCGTGGATTGAAACTGATTTGTTCTTCTGTTGCAATTATTTACTTTTTTATTTATTTGAAGGCGACGGAAAATAATAGTTAATGAGAAAAAGAGAAATGCTGATTACTAGAGATATGCTGTTGTCATGTCAATTGGCATGGTTGACTTTGTTGACTTCCTCTGATAGCTAAGAATAGTTAATGTGGAGAAAAGAGTGCTTCTTTTTGCTGTAATTTATGTGAATTTCCGATTAATATTTTGAGGCAATTGGTTGCTTTACTGGTTCAAGTTTATATTCCATTAGATCTTATGATTATAACTATCTGTTTAGCAATGGTGTTTGAGCTTTTACATTGGCTTTGAGAGGAATATGGATTGATTCGTGGCTTGATATTCCTTTGCTTTTCATGTTTTCATTTGGATGTCATGTTATGGATTGGGTTATTGATCCTTTGTTTGAATTTCTGATATATTTAGGAAATGAATAGAAGATATTTAAATTTGAAACTTTTTAATAACATGGTCTACATTATGTCATTGCTGCTCTTTTTGATTTTTGAGAAAATGAAGAAGAAAGCATTTTACAATGTGTTTAGGTTGTACTCTGTTTCTTTACTTCGAGATTCAAAGAACTCCTTAGTTTTTAAAAATTTCCATTCAAATATGAATAGAAACGGCAGAATTTTGTCCCATCTGTCTTATTTTATTTTGGTTTTTGTCTTATTTTTGTGTTATCTGACTGATTGAGTAAAGGAAAAGATTGAGGCAACATTGAACAATTATTGGTTCGACACAGATGTTTTCATGATCTTTTTATATTAACTAGAATTATTTTGTTTATGTATTGTCTAACCTGGGTGATAAGTTAGTATCTATTCTTGTAAATTTTAGCTTAATATATTAAAGACAATACAATAGTTAGACTTTGTTACTATATCCAGATGGTATTCGATGGTACATGCCGATGGGTCTATTATCCAGACCTTTGATTACTTGAGGCAACATGGGCTGCAAGGATTTGTAGATATATGGCCAAGACCCACTGTTATCGCTTGGAAAATAATTGCTTGTTATGCAGCATTTGAGGCTGCCCTTCAGCTTCTTCTGCCTGGAAAAAGGGTTGAAGGCCCAAATCTCCTGCTGGGAACCGACCTGTTTACAAGGTTTCTGTTGCTTGATATCTTCTTCTCCAGAACGCCTTAATATATACTTGTTTGTTGGTAATTTTTGGTGGACTGTTAGGATTTAATTTTCATTAACTCAAAATCGAAGAAATTTCTTCTACTTAATCATGTTGCTTGCATTTATTGTATTGCTTACATTAGCTTACTCTTTTTGTTGATTGGTGCAGGCAAATGGTGTGGCAGCGTACACAGTGACACTATCAACCTGTCTAAGCCTTTGGTGGTAAAGGATTTCTCCATCAACTTCTTTTGTTATGAAGTTGCAAAATGCTTTGGAACTATGAATTTGATGTAGTTAGAAGGGTTGTTCTGAGTGGAAGTTTTCCCTTTGGCTGCTTGTGAGTTGCTACACACCATCAATAATGTCTATATCACTTTATTTTTTCTTTCTTTTTTTAAATTTATTCAGCCAAGATATTCACTGCTGTCATGCGCCAGTTAATCAAAGACTTGAGAAAAATTAAACTTTTAGATTCTTCACTCTTGTTTCTTTTACAAGAATTGTCATTTTTGTTTGTTGTGTCTATTAAAGGACTCTTCTTGGTACTGTTTATAGGGTTGCTTGCTGGTTTCTTAAAATTTGTTTCCTTTTTCTGTTCGATATGAGTGGTATCTTGGGTGTTTCTCCTGAAATTAGAAGCAAAATTGATGAAATGGTGTCTCGCTGTCGGAATATTATCACATGGAACAAATCCAGTTTGTCTGGTATCTCATTGTATTTGATTTGAAACTAAAAATATGAATAATTTGAACCCTCTTATCAATTAGGTACCTCTTTTCCCATATTCAGTATTGTACCATTTTATGTTTTAACTTTCATAGTCTGACTAGAACTCAATGGTTTATCGTTTATCTGGTGTTTAACTTCTATTTACTTGTATTTTGCGGTTGCATGGCTCTTTAGTTAGAAACATGCCAACAAGTTAGTAACTGTTGTAGCCTGCCTTTTCCTTACAACTGTGTGATTTACCTGCTTCTGGTTTTAGTCACCCGCATCAAATATCATCAAGCGCAATTGGTTTATACTTTTATTGTGTTCATTTTCAGGTTCGGCATATTCAATCCCACAATTGTTAATGATCATTTGGGAGAAATATCTTTGCACTTATTTTTTGAAGCCTCATCTTTTGTGTTTTCTCATACATTAAAGTGAGGATTTAAATTTAAGCTTGCCATAATATTATTTATTCACAAATTAAACTGCTTCAATTTATATCTGACACTGATGCTTTATGTATACGAGGGTCATTTAGCCCCATCTTCCAGTGATTCTGAGAACTATTAACAAGTGATTTCCAACATTTTCTGGCATTTATGTTTTCTTTAAAAAAGAACCTGGGAAAATCATATCGCATGATAACTTTCATATGGTGCTAAATGTTTGATTGGCCATGTAAGCATCAATGGAAGTTTAGGCTAAGCTTGTATTTTTTTATCTCTATTCTTGACAGTATTCAAACGAGTTATATTCAAACCCTGTTTTTTTTTTTTACTCAAACCTTCTTATTCATGGCCTAGGTTAAAGACGTGTGTTGTGCTAACATGATTCCATGGAGTTTTAAACTAGAGTTGACATTTGGAAGTCTTGTAGCATAATTGTATAATTGTTCCACAAAATAATTAATGGTCTCTAGAATATGCTACCATTTAATATCTGAAATATACATGCATCTGATTGATAGCTTTATGGCTTTTAGGTGGCGTTTTAACTCAATGCTAGGTCATTGAGTTAATACCAACTTTACAATGTTTCGACAAACAAACTTGAGTGTCAGAGGGTTCTCGCCAATGGCAACCCCACTAGCCTCCTTTGACTTCGTTGTTGTCTTGTAGGTCCAAGTCCACATCATTTGAACGAGCTGAGACCAAGTCCGCAGAATCCAGTCAGTGAAAAGACCATTTTCCTGGTTGACCAAAAGGAAGAGTCAACAATAATCGTTTAAAGATGATCAACCATGACTTTTTTCAATGTATGCCTTCTCTTAAAGTCATGAAGCTGTCACATAATATTGGTCTGACTAACCCGCCGTTTGGAATTGCAAAATTATTTTTTTTGCAGCATCTTGATCTATCAGCTACTATCATAGAGAAGTTACCAATAGAGTTAAAAGCCCTGGTAAATCTTAAATGGTTGGACTTGGATTATTCTTGGGACCTGCATAAAATTCCACATCAGCTAATATCTCATTTTTTGAAGATGAATGTGTTGAGAATGTTGCATTGTGGTTATGGTTATTCTCCATCTGGTCAAGCAATAACAGAAGATACTGTTTTATACAGTGGTGGTGAATTATTGTTGGAGGAATTGCTCAACTTAAAATATTTAAACGTGTGGAGCATCTGCTTTAGAAGTTCCAGTGCTCTCGGAAAATTTTTGAGGTCCGCTAAGTTGCAGATTTCTACTCAATTTCTATGCCTTCACTGCTTTGATGATTCAAAGTCGCTCAATGTCTTAGCTTTAGCATATCTCAATCATCTTCATACACTAAATATTCATAGTTGTAAATATTTGGAAGAGTTGAAGATTGAGAATGTGCAAAATTCACAACCTTATTATTCTCAAACCCTTTACACCGTTGGAATATATATGATTGCTCCAAATTCAGGCACATGACATGGCCTGTTTTTGTTCCAAACCTCAAGTTTCTTGAAATACGTCTCTGTGATGAAATGGAAGAAATAATAAGTGTTAGAAAATTGGGTAAAGGTTCAGAGATGTGAGCAAATCAAAGTTCTTTCGAGAAACTCCAAAGTCTTGAATTGCGTAATCTACAAGATTTGAAGAGCATCTATTTGAAGGCTTTGCCTTTCCCTCATCTAAAGAAAATTTTAGTACATGAATGTCCAAAGCTTAAGAAGCTTCCACTGGATTTCAATAGTGCAAAGGAGCGTACAATCGTTATTATGGGACCAGAAGAGTGGTGGAAAGAGTTGCAATGGGAGGATGAAGCTACTCTAAATGCTTTTCTTCCTTGTTTCAATTCTAACGATCAGACAAATCAGATTATTAATAGTTGATATAAAGATCAGGATTATATGTTTTAAAAGGGCATTGTCATGGATTTTGATCTAAACTACTTTTGTTTTCAGTTATTGTTGGTGTAAGGATGCTTACTTGTTTTTGAGATATTTGACATTATTGATCAATTACTTAATTCCCTTGTTAATTTTATGGATAATATTTGTCATTTAGGATTTCAGCCAAAAATTCCTTAAGATTCCGATGGCTTCTTTCTTCCATGATACACCAAATCTGAAACTTATTTGATAATCGTTTTTTGGTTTTTTGAGTGGACCATCGATGGAACCAGGGAGATTTTATTAAATCCCATAGCCTTTGTTGAATTAGTGCTGAAAACAAATCAATAAATATAATGCATCTATAAATAAAATAAATATATTTTATACTAATTAATCAGTCACCTCAACTATCTCAAACATTTGTGTTTGGTTGTGTACGAATGCAGGAACTAGTGTAAAAATGCATTATGTTACCTGTATGAAGAAGCTACACAAAATACTTTGCTGCAATGTCGCAATTCTGTGTTGGTAAGTTAAGGCAATGGATCGAGAGATTTTGGGTGGGGGATTCTGGACGCTTGTTCAATGTTTACCTTCGTGTTCTTTCTCGGCGTGTAGTTTGATTGGAAAGCCCTTTGTCACATATTCTTGAATATGGAATTTGCATTGCTGGTCAAGAGTAAGAGCTTCATTTATTGCGCTAGTACAAGAGTAAATGGGTCATGGAAGTCTTATAATAAGCAAAGACCAAGATCAAACAATCAGATCCAATTGAAAAAGGAATGAGCTTGAATTTAGCCTTCTCTGAAGTAGGGATGCAATATTTGGGTTTTGGGTTAAGTCACCCCAACCCCAACCCATCTCATCCCATACTTAAAATCCCAACCTGTCGCTGGTGTCAGAGTGTTTTGATAGTTAGTTGAAAATATGTCTCCTAAAATTGGGATTTAAAAGATTTGCTATTTATTTAATCATATAATCAGACCACATATGTTATATGAAAGTCTTAAAAGAGAATATACATACTCATTGTGTTGTGTAATTTAATTTAGGTTGATTATTTACATGCTCTGTTTTGGTTCTTACTTCTTAGTACAACAACCAATAGCCCTGCTTTCAAATGACTTTTTAGGAGTCCCTCTAGTTAAAGAGTTGCATTAGAGGTTCATCCCTCCACCTTATTTTCAGAGGTTTAATTTCTCTTGATAATATCATTTCTTCGGTACCTTTTGTGTGTGTGTGTGTATATATTTCATAATAATTTGGAATAAATGGGTGGTTGATTGGACAGAGAAAGGAAGGAAATCAATTTAAAAGAAGTATGATATAATATTTGTTCTTTTCCTTAGATTGATATATAAGCATATTCTTTTCCTTAGACAAACCTTTATTAAAGAAAAGTGGGCAGTTAAGTTAAGAATCAAACAATGCTTTGCTTTTGTCTCACTTCATGAATCATTATATTTTCAAACATTTTTCTAACAAAAAAAAAAAAAACCATTCAGCCTAATTACAACTAGTCTCAAAATCAAACAACCTGTTCTTCCTCTCTTTCAAATCAATGGGAAACGGTTCTCAGAGTTGATTTCTGCCACATGTCGAGCCATTTTCCCTCCTTGTCTAGATTGCATTTCCAAAAAAGTGGCATACATAAGGGAGCTTGAAGAAATGTTAATTCCTTACAGACAGAGTTGCAGAAACTGTTGAAGCAAAGGCCGATGTGAAGAGGAGGGTTGACATTGCTGAAACAACGTCCACAATGAAACGGCTGAGCCAAGTGCAAGGGTGGCTTCAAGGGTGGAAGCTGAGGAAACTGAAGTTGGTGAATTGCTACGTGACAGCTCTCAAGAAATTGAGAAATTAGTCTGGAGGCTACTGTTCCAAGAACTTCAAGTCAAGCTACGAGTTTGGAAAGAAAGTGGCCAATAAGTTGCAAGAGTGGTTAAGTTGAAGGATGAGGGAGGGATTTCGAAGTGGTAGCTGGGAAAGTACCAGAGCCTCCTACGGACTTGATACCTTTGCAGCAAACAATAGTGGGTTGCAATCATATGATAAAGTTTGGAAATGCCTCGTCGAAGAAGAAGTGGGAATCATTGGCATATACGGCACCGGGGGAGTTGGCAAAACAACTTACTAAAACAAATCAACAATAAGTTCTGCAATAGCTTAAGGTTTTGATGTGTGATTTGGGTGGTGGTATCTACAGTTCCGAATTTTGAAAAGATTCAGAAGACATTGGGAAAAAGATAGGTTAAATGATGAATTGGAAGACAAGAGTCTTCAGAGAAAGCTGGGGATATCTTCAAGATATTGAGTAGCAAGAAGTTTGTTTTATTGTTGGATGATATTGGAAGTGGATTGATTTAACTGAAGTGGTGTTCCATTCAAACTCAAAACCTGTATCGAAAGTAGTGTTTACAACTCGATTTTTTGAAGTTTGTGGCTCGATGAATACCAACAAGGATTTCAAGTGGAGATTTGACGGATGAGGAAGCTTGGAAATTGTTTGAGAAGAATCTAAAGTGAAGTTTTGGAGCATCCTATATTCCTCAATTAGCAAAAGTTGTAGCAAAAGAGGGTGGTGGACTACCCCTTGCGCTAGTAACTGTTAGTCGAGCCATGTCTCGCAAGAAGACACCTCAGAAATGGAGGTATGCAGCTAATTTGTTAAGGACTCAGCATCTGAATTGCAGGTAGGGGACAGAAGTGTATCCTGTTTTAAAGTTCAGTTATGATAGTTTTGCCTAGGACAAAATTGATCTGTTTTTATATTGTAGTTTATATCCAGAAGATTTTCTGATTAATAAACAGCAATTGATAGAGTGTTGGATAGGAGAGGGTTTTTTGGATGACTCTAATAGAGGTGACGTATATGACCAAGGATATTATATTATTGGTATCCTTGTCATGCATGTTTATTGGAAGAAGAAAAAGATATTGAAGATCCAAGAGGAGATTATGTTGTAAAATTGCATGATGTGATACGTGACATGGTTTTATGGATAGTTAATGATATTGAGAAGGGAATTTTGTTGAAGCAAGCACTGGATTAACAGAAGCACCAGAGATTGGAAGGGTTGGAGTAGAAAATATCATTAATGGGCAATAGAATTAAGAATATGTCACAAACCCCTACATGCCCTGATCTCCAAACTTTGTTTCTCGATCAAAATGAGTTATCAAATGTCTGTGATGACTTCTTTAACTTCATGCCTTCTCTCAAAGTTTTGAATCTGTCACATAATAGGCTTTGTAAATTACCAGTTGGAGTTTCAAAATTGGTTTCATTACAATATCTTGATCTATCATATAATCTTACTATACAAGAGTTGTCGGTTGAGTTAAAAGCTTTAACAAATCTTAAATGTTTGAGCTTGGAGTATATGATCCGACTAAAAACAATTCCATGTCAATTGATGTCTAATCTTCAAAGGTTACATACATTGAGAATGTATGGATGTGGTACCAGTGTTGAAGATGGAACAGAGGATAGTGATTTATTTGATGGTGGTGGTGGTGAAATATTGGTGGAGGAATGTGATCGCTTGGAATATTTAAATGTGCTGTCCTTGACCTTGGGAAGTTACATTGCTCTCCAAAGACTTTTGAGCTCCGTTAAGTTACAGAGTTGTACTCAATCTCTATTCCTTAAGGGCTTTCATGAGTCAATGTCGTTCAATATTTCAGCTCTAGCAACTCTCAAGCATCTTTGTGTACTAGAAATTCATGAATGGACGGGCTCTGATATTGTGAATGTACAAAAAATACGGGAACCATCTAGTTTCTACAGTCTTCACGATATAAAAATATCAAATTGCAACTCATTCAGGGATTTGACATGGATTGTTTTTATTCCAAACCTCAAGTTTCTTTTTATAGTCCGTTGTGCTGCGATGGAAGAAATCATCAATGTTGAAGAACTGGGTGAAGTTCCAGAGATGATGTCAGATCTATTCCCTTTTCAGAAACTCCGATTTCTTACATTATGGAATCTATATAATTTGAAGAGCATCTTTGGGAAGGCCTTGCCCTTCCCAAATCTCAGGGAAATTAGTGTATTACTATGCCCAAAGCTTAAGAAGCTTCCACTGGATTCAAATAGTGCAAAGGAACATAAGATTGTTATCGAGGGACAGGAAGAGTGGTGGAAAGAGCTGCAATGGGAGGATGAAGCCACTCTGAATGCTTTTCTTCCTTGTTTTAGATCTCACAGGTATGCAATTTTATCTATATTTGTCTAAAAAATTGTTGATTACTGGAAGGTAGCCTGTAGTGTTGTCAGGATTGCTTGAAAAATTCTCATAAATTTATCTCATTAAAAAAATAATTATTTATTTGAGCATCACAGGTTCATTGAGATATCTTAGATTATTAATTAATTACTTCCAATATGAAATCTTACCCCAACTACTATTTAGGATTTCTTTAAATACTTTTTAAATATTACTTGAAGATTTGTTACATTGAAAACCCAGAACAAATATCTTCATTGTTTTGAAGAATTTATGATTTCATTAAAATGTGAAGAGCATCTATTGTGAGGCCTTGTCCTTCACACATCTGAAATAAATTTATTTAACAGTGCCAGATTGTTGGATTTGAAATTCGCATCACTGGTATCAGAGTGCTAACTAGTTTCTTAACATATAGAATGTACTTTATATTCTTGAATGGATAGATTATTAGAAGAATATTAAACAGATTTTGTGTTTTTATGTCCTATAGAATACACTTTATTATCTTCTTGCATATTACCATGAATACAGACTTCAAACATCTAATCTGAAAACTATGTTTATTGAATTATTTGCAGGTAGATGAATGACATGAGGCACTGCAAAATGCTGTTGTGATAGTTAATTACAATGTTTCTTGACATGACCTGATTTATTTCACTTGTTTCATAGTGTAACAACCAGTTTATCTCTTCAATTCCGATTGGTTTGGTTTATGTAAACTTGAAATTTCAGCCACCTCTCCATCACTCAGCAGACAAGAAGACTATGTAGCATCAGAGAATGAGAATTCCTTATAATGATAAGCCATGTTTGGGTTGCAGACTTGCAGCATCTATATGTTTTCTGGGGGATACTTTTCAATTGTTTAATTACATGTTTTGTTATTGATTGATTACTTACATGTTCTGTTAATTTCCTTTGTTTAATAGTACAACAAGAAGTAGCCTTTCTTTCAATTGACATTTCACGAGTTTACTATACTTAAAGAGTTGCATTAGAGATCCATCCCTCAATTTTCAAAGGTTTGATTATTTCTCTCATTTCTTCAAAAGGGAAATTTTTTAGTTGAAGCAAGCACTGGATTAACAGAGCACCAGAGATTGGAAAATGGGTTGGAGTAAGAAAAATATCATTAAAAAACCATTTCAGCCTAATTACAACTAGTCTCAAAATCAAACAACCTGTTCTTCCTCTCTTTCAAATCAATGGGAAACGTGTTCTCAGAGTTGATTTCTGCCACATGTCGAGCCATTTTCCCTCCTTGTCTAGATTGCATTTCCAAAAAAGTGGCATACATAAGGGAGCTTGAAGATAATGTTAATTCCTTACAGACAGAGTTGCAGAAACTGGTTGAAGCAAAGGCCGATGTGAAGAGGAGGGTTGACATTGCTGAACAACGTCCACAAATGAAACGGCTGAGCCAAGTGCAAGGGTGGCCTTCAAGGGTGGAAGCTGAGGAAACTGAAGTTGGTGAATTGCTACGTGACAGCTCTCAAGAAATTGAGAAATTATGTCTGGGAGGCTACTGTTCCAAGAACTTCAAGTCAAGCTACGAGTTTGGAAAGAAAGTGGCCAATAAGTTGCAAGATGTGGTTAAGTTGAAGGATGAGGGGAGGGATTTCGAAGTGGTAGCTGGGAAAGTACCAGAGCCTCCTACGGACTTGATACCTATGCAGCAAACAATAGTGGGGTTGCAATCAATATTTGATAAAGTTTGGAAATGCCTCGTCGAAGAAGAAGTGGGAATCATTGGCATATACGGCACCGGGGGAGTTGGCAAAACAACCTTACTAAAACAAATCAACAATAAGTTCTGCAATAAGCTTCAAGGTTTTGATGTTGTGATTTGGGTGGTGGTATCTAAAGTTCCGAATTTTGAAAAGATTCAAGAAGACATTGGGAAAAAGATAGGTTTAAATGATGAATCTTGGAAGAAAAGAAGTCTTCAAGAGAAAGCTGGGGATATCTTCAAGATATTGAGTAGCAAGAAGTTTGTTTTATTGTTGGATGATATATGGAAGTGGATTGATTTAACTGAAGTGGGTGTCCCTATTCCAAACTCAAAACCTGTATCGAAAGTAGTGTTTACAACTCGATTTTTTGAAGTTTGTGGCTCGATGAATACCAACAAGGATTTCAAAGTGGAGTATTTGACGGATGAGGAAGCTTGGAAATTGTTTGAGAAGAATCTAAAAAGTGAAGTTTTGGAGCATCCTGATATTCCTCAATTAGCAAAAGTTGTAGCAAAAGAGTGTGGTGGACTACCCCTTGCGCTAGTAACTGTTAGTCGAGCCATGTCATGCAAGAAGACACCTCAAGAATGGAGGTATGCAGCTAATTTGTTAAGGAACTCAGCATCTGAATTTGCAGGTATGGGGACAGAAGTGTATCCTGTTTTAAAGTTCAGTTATGATAGTTTGCCTAGTGACAAAATTAGATCTTGTCTTGTATATTGTAGTTTATATCCAGAAGATTTTCTGATTAATAAACAGCAATTGATAGAGTGTTGGATAGGAGATGGTTTTTTGGATGACTCTAGTAGAGGTGACGTATATGACCAAGGATATTATATTATTGGTATCCTTGTTCATGCATGTTTATTGGAAGAAGAAAAAGATATTGAAGATCCAAGAGGAGATTATGTTGTAAAATTGCATGATGTGATACGTGACATGGTTTTATGGATAGTTAATGATATTGAGGCACTGCAAAATGCTGTCGTGATAGTTAATTACGATGTTTCTTTACATGACCTGATTTATTTCACTTGTTTCATAGTGTAACAACCAGTTGATCTCTTCAATTCCCGATTGGTTTGGTTTATGTAAACTTGAAATTTCAGCACCTCTCCATCACTCAGCAGACAAGAAGGGCTACTCGTTGTTGTACTAAGAAACAAAACAGAGCATGTAAATAATCGACCTAAATTAAACTACACAACACAATGAGTACGTGTATTCTCTTTTTCACATAACATATGTGGTCTGATTATATGATCAAATAAATAACACACCTTTAAATCTCAATTGTAGGAGACATATTTTCAAGAAACTACCAAAACACTCTGACACCAACAGTATGCAAATTCCACATCCAATAATCTGGAGCAAGAAGCAAAGGCTTCGTTTGGTTGGATTTTGGGAATACTATTTTTAGTATTCCCAAAAAAGTTAAACAGTAAAATACCAAAAAACTCACAATATTATTCAACTTTATTCAACATTTTTTCAACCCCCTAAATTTGTTAATTCAATTAAATACCCCTAAATATTTTTAATGTTTTTGTTACGGTGACTTCGGCTACCCTCCGGCGATGGTGGCCGGCTGTCCGTATTTGAGGGTGGATTAGGGGTGTTTTTGTTAACTTTTAATGTTTTATTATAAGGGGTGTTTTGTAAAAAAACAAACATAAAGGGTATTTTACAATTTGTAAATCCTACATCGTAATACCCGCCCAATTCAACTTTTTTTTTAACTTTTTCCAAAAACACAAAATTGTGAACCAAATGGAGCCAAAATATCTGACAACAAAGGGATTCTATATCAAATTACATATGAGAAAACAGACAACAATTATTCGTGGAAAAATACTCCCCCTAAATTAAAATGATAATCCCTGGATAATAAATGAAAAACAAATCACACATGAGTGAAAATTTGACTAAACGTCACATAGTGTCCTTAAATCATTCTGGTTTTGAGCATTCTCTTCATTTACTAGACTTTTACTTTCAAATTCAATCAATTCAACATCATATCAATAATTAATTAATATTCTAAACTGGTACAATCTTCAGTTATTGCACAGATGAGATGTATGAGGACAGATCTAACCTCCTTAAGGATGGTAAAATAAATGCAGGCCGACAAGGTATGTTGAATCAAAGTATACCTGAGCCCCCAGAAATCTCCATACGTATCGATGCCATCAATCACAAATCAATAATATCTGAAATGAGAAATACAAGTAAACATAATGCATCACCCAAGTATTTGATTTTTTTACAAAATGGAAATATGTAAGAGGTGGTTGATGTGACTAACTAACTTCATTGAATTATTTATTCAGAATGCCCAATTAGTAAAGATTATGGGGACCGAGTGCTTATCTTAATTATTAAGTACATTAATTTTAACTGATGTTTCTTTAGTTACTACTTGTTGTCAAGATTGATCTGAATGCTGAAATGAAGCGCAAATACTGAAAAAGGTTGTGATCCTGACCTAGTTTGTCTCAGCTAATTGTCAAATAACAGGCATTTTTCTCATTATTCTAATTCTGACTGGCTATAGAGAAAGCTGAGATACAACTTTCTTGATTTGACAGCTCCTTCTTAATAAGGGTTCTAGATATCTAAGTTAACTCCATATGATCAAAAAACGATGAGAATAGAAATGAATTTTAATCTAAATTTTAGGAGACATATCATGCAACTAGCATGCTCTCAAAAACCAGTGATGCCAATTCAACATCCAAATATCAGCAAACTAAATGGAAGAAAACATACAACCATGCTAAACATTTGTATCTGTACAGTAAAGTTACCGCCCTAAGAAACTATTAAGGTTACCAGCGAACATTAGCAAGCATTTCATTTTACAAGTTGCTTCAAAGTTGCAAATTACAGTCGCATTAATATACCAGGCCATGTTAAGTTATTAACCTAAAGTTTCTTTAATTGGAATTATGCACTCATATTTAAAAAAAAAAATCCAATGGTCAACATCATCCCAGTAACATTACAAGGCAAGTACTCCAGCAAACTGTATTCCAGTAACAATTACCACAAACTTCCATTAAGAATGGACGCCCGTCCATACTTTAAAAAAAAAAAAAAAATTCGTCTTCATTCCCCATCTCCTCTCTTTTTCTTCTGCCTTCATATCCACCTTTGAATAGCTCTAAAACAGCTTACTCCATGACGTAAAGTAGCTCTCAACATCTCTAGTGATGAGAATGTTGGGTGTGGTAATAAATCTAAGCGGAAAGAGTTCAATCTCAATCAATCTGTTTCTGGGTTTTCTTCTGGTAGTGGATTTGAAGGTGAGAAACCCCAAAAAAAAAGCTAAGAGGGAGGTGAAAAAGGTTAAGCTCAAGGTTGATGGTGTTACACGCACTATACAGGCCAACGTCACAGCCAATGGTGTGGCAGGGGGTGGGTCTTCTAAGAATTCCCAGTCCCCAGATGACTCCAGACCAAGGAAGAAGCAGAATCTTCAGGTATAATGTTGCTTCTTGTCAGCTCAGTTCTGTGAAATTTGGTAGCCTCATTCTCGTATGTATTAGGTTCGATTTCACTTGAATATTTGGTCTGTTTCACTTACGTGAGTATCACTTGCCTTAACTTTGTTCATATGTGTCTAAATGGTCAGAGCATCGAAATGCGAAATTTTTTCTTTTTCTTTTTTAAGCATTTCCAGCTTTATATAGTTGGATAGAGAATTAAATTTTAATTGTTTGGAAGGATATCTTCAGTGTTAATGAGGTTTTTCATACCTTAATAAGTATTCACTGAATTATGTTTGGAATCCTGTGCAATCTTCTCATTTTAATGTTTCTATAGCAGGGAATTTCTGATGATAGACTTTCCACTCTAGATAAGAGGCCTGGCCTTCAAGGGATCCCTTGGAAGGATTTCTCAAGAGTTGGTTTTAGTTTGGGGAAGGAGGATCAATTGACGGGGAAGAGCACTGGAAAGAATTCCTTTGGGAAAAAAGGAGATCACTTTGGCGCTGTTCGTAAGAGCAAGCGAGTATCTAAGAGGCGTGCGGTGGATGGAGAATTTGATGATGATGAGGATGACGAGATTCGATACCTGGAGAAACTTAAAACTTCAAAGGTTACTTTCAGATCAAGATGATGAAAAGAATTAGGCAAAAAAAACATCCAAGCTAATGGACGCCCGTCCAAACTTTTTTTTTTTTTTTTTTTTTTAAGTATGGACGGGTGGACGCCCGTCCAAACATAAGGGACGGCCGTCCATATTTATGGACGGCCTCCCCAAGTTTTTTTTTTTAATTTTTATATTTTATATATGGACGGGCGTCCTTTAAATAGGGACACCCGTCCCTTGTATATGGACGCCCGTCCATAAAGAATTAGGCAAAAAAAACATCCAAGGGATGGGCGTCCATTAGCAATGGACGCCCGTCCAAACGTTTTTTTTTTTTTTTTTTTTTAAGTATGGACGGGTGGACGCCCGTCCAAACATAAGGGACGGCCGTCCATAATTTATGGACGGCCGTCCCCAAGTTTTTTTTTTTAATTTTTATATTTTATATATGGACGGGCGTCCTTTAAATAGGGACACCCGTCCCTTGTATATGGACGCCCGTCCATATAATATGGACGGGCGTCTATGTAAGTGAACGGTCGTCCAAATTTAATGGATGGCCGTTTACTAGAAAAAAATTGTTAAAAAAAATCAAAGTTGTGTTACACGTAGGCCGGTACACATTTTCGGTGTAAAATTTTCGGTGTCCGTAGCTTTGTTGAAAAAAAAATTCCCAAAAACGAGCAAGTTTATTTTATGGATTAACAAAAAATAATGTGAATTACCGAGGCTTTGTCGGGATTTTTCCGAAAATAGCTGTAAAGAAGAATAACAATCGGGCTCTCGATAACCTAAATGTTGAAACAAAATTAATAAGTAACCAAGATTATAAATTTGAATTTGATGACAAAAAGAGAAAGAAAACAAATGTACAGTACCCAGAAAACAAAAAATGTTTGAGGAGGAGACACCGAATGGGATGAAGAAGAAGAAGGAGTTTCAGACTTTCAGTGGTTGAAGGTTTCACCATTGTTGCGTTTTTTTTGGGATTTCGGAATGAAGTTGTAAGGTTTTATATATTGGGCTAAGTCGGGATCAGCATGACTTGAATTTCGTCAAGCATTTTGGGCTTAAATGGGTGCAAGATCGGCCTGCTACTATTAATGGGCTCAAACAAAAGGAAATACCTAGGCCTCCCATTAATTTTAGAAAATTAGGATTGAGATCAAGTATTTGAAAGATTTGTTTCGAAGATATAAAGTTTATCAATACATAGATTTTTTTATAGTCTTATTGGAGCAATATATACCAAAGGCATAGATTTTTTTTAACAATAATGCTACTATAATATGTCAAGTTTTCTTTTAATTTTTTCAGCAACCCTTTTTTTTAACTTCAAGTTTGATTGATAATTATTTTCTTTCATCTAGTTTAGAAGATTGATAGGCTTGGAAACGGTTTATCTTTGGAATGAATAGCTTCTTTCTTTTGCTAAAACAGAAACTTAAGACAACTTATAAAATGAACAAACAAACGTCAATAGAAGCCTATAGCTTCTTTCTCATTGACTTTTATTATCAAACTTAACTACCTACTGTTACACAAATGGTTCACTAGCTACTTTCAGATTAACTTTAACCTTGATTATTATATTAAAAAAAAAAAAGTTTCAGAAAATATCAGCAAGACCCCTCAAGGTATGAGAAATCATCGGTAGCCTCCATTTAGATCTGACAAATTGATCGTTTATCTCTACTTGACCATGAAATGTAAAAGTCAAAATTAACATAACAAAGGGGATAAGTAAATGAGTTTATGAAATTCGAGGAAGGGAAGGTAATGAATGGTCTATAATACATTTGGGATTTTACTAAATTTCCTTAAATGCTAGGAAAGGTTAGAGATTATTCAAAAAATTAATAACTAAAAAACAATTACCTGAAAAATATAGATAAATGATTACATATTATATTATATAGTTGACAAAATGTGTGAATTAACATGTTTAAATAATATAATTAATATAATCTGTATTAAGCAAAAAGATTGCTCCTTTAATACAACTCTTTTAACTTTTTTTTTTTTTTTTAATTATTGGAGGTATCCAGACCAACTTGCGTACACTGCACTTAATCTCTCAGAGCCCGAGAATTATCGGCTGGATGAAAGCCTCAATGACCATCTCTATTAGTATCTAAGAGGTCTCAAACTCAGAAGTTTATAAAACCTCCTTAAACTTCTTTTACATCAAGCCACCTAGTGCTTCTCTTTTAAAACTTGGATTGGACTGGCCGATTCAACCGGTTCGACTGGGACCCAGTCCTATGTCTAGTCCAAGCCAATATAAAACCCGGTTATAATCAAAAAACTGTGTTAACCCCCCATTGAACCGGATAAACAGTGCCACCCACCTGCTCCAACCGGCCTGCCAGGTAAATCGGTTCACTGTTTCAAATGAAAAAAAACCCTAACTCTATACTTTTTAAGTTTTTCTATGCAAAACACCAAAGGCAATCACACACAGCCACTCTCTAAATCACCGCCACTCTGAGCCCTCTCAGAAATCGCAACCCATTCTCAATCAACTCCACTCTCTCAAGCTTGAAATCGCAACCACTGTCTCAATCTCAATCGACGACGACACCTCCCTTGCTCGACAACAACAACGCCTCTCTCCCTCTCTGGAAATCGACGACAACAATGCCTTCCGTGCTTGAAATCGAAGACAATGATGCCTTTCTCCCTCGCTTAAGCTTCCTTAAAAATTGCGTATGATTCTGATTCTAACATCTCCACCCCAACAAAATATATAAATTTTATTTGTATCAACTCCAAGCTCTTATAGATTTACGATTAGGTTTCACACAATCGTCTTTCACCCAAAACACATTTAAATATTTAAGAGAACTCAAAAATTATAAACATGTTTAAATCTGTATAAGCCAAAGAAATCTGATATAAATTTATGAATTTAAATGAAATGGTTAAATCCCACTTCAAAATGCGTAAACTACTATATGGACCAGAATGACTTGCTATGTACAGTGATATTCAATTTTGATCTACTTCAATCCTGACTGATGCTATATTCTCTGAAAAATTATTCATCTCCGATTCCCTCCTATACTCTGACTGATGCTATATTTTGGTCTTCAGGATGCATTCTCATCAAGGTCACAAAGAATGCATGGATCTGTAGACTTCTCAAGGCAGCGAGTGTGAAAAGTAGTGGCCGCATGGCAAAACTGCAACAGATCGAGGTATACTTGGCTAGGAAATGGGGCCCTTGGCTTCTAGTGTGAATGAAAGATCCCTCTTGCAAAAGAGGCACTCTCTTCCACTTGGTTGAAGGGGTTTGTCGAAATCTGCATAGAGAAGTGTAATTGCAGTCATTGCTATTGTAATGACGAGCGTTAATATCATCCTTAACATTGCAAACATTAGAGGCATAGTGAGGTATTAGGTTTAGCTGGATTTTCTGCAACAACAAAGTGTTTACTGTCTATTTCCAAAATCCAGATGCATGGCAAACTTAAATAAGCATTTTGATGTCCAGATCCTTTTGCTGCATGCGAGTTCTCAGTAATGTACAGTGGGTATATTAGAAGGGTATCACTGCTTAAAATTGAAGAGATGTTGTATATGAAAGGAACCAAACTTACAAAACTCAGGGAAGTCAACAACAAAAATAGATCTTAGAATTCTGAAAAAAATACCTTGCTTTATGTGATTGGTTGGAAAATCCTTAGCTGCTTGTGTAAGAGCATGCAGGTCTGACAAATCAATCTGGGACTGTGGTGTATGAGATGGTCGAATTGGATGGGTTTTCTATGCAGATCTATTAGAAGACGGCCGAACTGGACGGGTTTCGTATGTAGATCTATTAGAAGATGGTCGAAATTGACATGCTTAGTTTGTGGATCTATTAGAAGATGGTTGAACTGGAGTATTGGAAGCTTGAGCAAGTAGATCAATTGGAATTACTGGACCTATGATTGTAAAACTTAAAAATCATGATTACAAACAGTAAATTTGAACTAAATTTATATGTGGTCATGGAGCTAAATGTTAATCACCAAAGTTATCAGCAGGTGAAGTCAGTCTACTAGCAGGCTGAATAGGAGCAGTGGTTTGAGATTGACCAAAGTTACCTGCGAGCATCCAGCAAAAAATGTCACAAATATACCTATAAAAAAAATGGATGACTTGCGCAGATTTAGAGGCCTGATTCAACCTGGATTAAAGTCATTATAATCGGTAATAGTCCAATTCAACCAATTTATGCATATTTATTATAGTGTTCCATAATGGACTGAAAATAGCACAGCAATCACTAAAAAGGCCAGAAGAGATGAGTAATATATTAATCAGGTATACATTTTCTCAAGGGGTACCATGACTTAAAACTTTATACAAGAAAAAGAGTTTTTTAAAATAGAATCAAAGAAGAAGACATACCTTGCACCACATGACAAGGTATAAATTCCTTGGCCAAACGTGAAAGAGGATGAACAGTCCAAGCCGCAGCAGTCTGGGATACAGGACAGAAAACCTGTGTTTTGGGTGGGAAAAGAGCTGTCTGGACTGGTGGTGCAGGAGAGGGAGCAGCTTAAATTGATTCTGAAATAGAAGAATCAGTCTGTGGTTTTGTTGTATGCTGAACTGGGTGAGCGACCAGATAGGGATTAGCAGTAAAAGAGGGGCAAAAAACTAGAGAGACTAGGCTGGATATCTCCATTGAGATGGTCCAGTAGGATTGTTGGAAGATTGAGCGGTTCCCCTTCCCCTTAGGACCGGTCTTACTTGACTTGTAAATGGTGAAAGTCAACACTTAAGTACAAGCATTCAGCATTTCTATTGCAAAAGCCCCCTCCAATAAATCAATGATGAGCTAAATAACTTGACCCAGGCGGACAAAGCTGCACATTATAATAGTTTTGCACTAATTTTGGGATCACAAAATAAACTAGCAAAATTCAGGATAGCAATGTACAGATAAAAAAAGGTTTATCTAACCTGTCGAGCATAAGATATTCAAACAGAACTTAACCCTAGTTTATACTTCCGATTAGTTGGCATGATCCAGTTTATGCCCTGCATAATTCATCAAAAGGAGGTGAATCCTCTCTCTCTACCAATTGAGGTGCATTATTTCTTTGTTCCATCAAAATGAAGCTGGAAATATAATACCTCATCAGTTGTAGCATTCAAACTAACAGCTAAAGCACAATTGGACTCATGGAGAAATCATTTCAACTAGGGACAAGCCCACTAGCAGAAACAGTGACCTTGCGAGGACTGAAGTGGAGGCCCTGCTCATGCACCATAATGTCGGAAGCTTTTATGACATTTCCAGCATTGTGAAGTAGCTCTCCCATTCCCAACATAAGTATTGTTATGACAATAATTAGGATAGACCAGATAATCCAGAAGCTTAGTGTTTAGCAAGAGAGAAGATGAAATTGCTCGACAGCATTTAATGATTACAACATGCTAAGAAGTTGAGGCAAAAGGCATTGGAAAAAAAACATGAAAGGTCTATTGAATTACAAGTATATTTTTCTTATCTCTGTGTGTACATAAGTCGTGTGCCTGTCTGTGTGAGTACTTGCAGTCCTCCAAAAGGATTAACAAAGTTAATGTTTGAACAAACCAACACACGAGAAAAAGTTACTGATATCTAGTAAAAAGATACACATAAACTTCTTTTATAAAACCATGCCAAAAGAATAATAACTCCTTTGATCATTGCAAACTATATCTATGTCATAAATACAAAATTGATTCTGTTCCCTTCACAACAGTTTGAGGAGAAAATCACCACATCAGAGAAGTTAGGGGGTCCATTACAAAACATTGGGGCTGAAATAGATTATTGTTTCTATACAATTCAAATATGTACAGGGTATTACCAATAAAAGTTTGGACATCTGTACATGAAAAATAACACACAACTTTTTGTTTTTGATATAAAAAGAAGAAAAAAAAACCTCATGAAACGATATTGAGAATATTAATAGTGTATACTGACAGTACAGCGCAGGTCCTGAACAAAATATCACTCTACTGAAAAAACCTCACTAAACTGAAAGGTTGTTTCCCTATGTGCACTTACGTAGCCTTATAAAACAAATGTGCACTTACCATAAACACAACATTTGAAATTGAACCAACTTCACTTGAGAGCAGGCGCTGTGTAAATACAGCTTGCTCTACTATCTCAGTCGTGGTCAGATGTCTCTTCAAACACATCCTGTTAAAAAAAAAAAAAAAAAAAAAAAAAAAAAAAAAAAAACATATTATGGTATGAACCTTATATGAGAGAACAAAAGCATGAATAACATATAATGTGAAGCTATGCGAAATATTATTCTTGCCTGCCAGTGTAGCAGAACTGACAATTCATGGCACAACCCACCTGACTTGAAACACAGACAGTCGTTCTACCTCTATCACATGGAATGATGACTGTTTCAAAATCAATGAGAAGATTCTCAATGTAATGCAACGTTCTAATCTAAATATGTAACATCCATGTCAAATATTTGGTACATAGACAATTACAAGGGACAGTAACTAATAAATATGAAGCAAACAAAACAGATTATTCTACCTTCTGAGTTCCATCAGATGCTGTGTAAATGTCTTTCATAGATAACGCCTTGAATTCAGCATGTTCACTCAACATTTTCTTGAAATCCTTGTTCAAGCCTACAAAATATACAATTCTTAAAACCCAGCAGACATACAAGAAGGAACCTAATACAAGCTCCCCACAATAAATTAAAATGCCGCATATATCTAGTAAATCTATGACAGACTCTATCCACCAAATGATAGTACCTTCCATCTCGTCAATACAATGTGCCCAGATGTTGTTCCCATAGAGGCGCTTCCACAACATCAAAGCCTGACCTGATCTGAACCCATGTGACTGAACCCATTGCTGTCAAAGCACACACTCATAATCGTAACTTACAATTATGTGTTTCATTCATCAAACTAAAGCAAAAAGATTTAAATTATCTGGTCTCATAATTCTCATTAAAACACCATCACATCATTAACAGCAAGTTTAAGCTCACAAAATGTCACCCCAAAATACAAAATCAGCTCATTAAGTGGGAAAAAAGTGAAACGAAAACTGTAAAAAGTTGATACAGACTAGAAGCTTAGGGTATCTCATTCCCTTGAGCAGCACCTTCGAAACCTTCTTCTGTGGAGAAACATTTCCGTCAACACAGTTTCCTAACAAGAAAAGCAACGACTCACACACTCAGTTAAATTAGCCTCCATATATATGTATACAAGTTGTCTTCATGACTAATTATGAGCATGTCAACCATCCAGTCAACGTAGTATCATATGGTTGAGCTTTTGAAAAAGTGAAACACATATTCTGAATTATGGGGCCCTAACTTGACACTATCTTGTATATCTAATATTTTCATTGCTAGATTCATGCCTGACAACCCTCTAGTCTCACCAGTTACCATATAGCTGAGATTTTTCACATAAACAAAGAACACTTTGGGATCAAATTTAGTTTAATACAGGAAAAATAAACTATTTGTCAAAATGAAACTTTCAGCGGGGAAAGAAGAATCCAATAAATGTATGCATTCCAGTGATATAACAGAGTAAAACATATAAGGGATTCTATTTCATTGAGCACCAACAGTCTTTGGAAACAGACTACCTTCAGCAACTTGAGCTGTACTATCCTTGCTATCAGAAAAATGCAAATATGCAGAAAAAGTTCATGAACATTTAATTCAGCAGGGAAGCACTCCCTGTACTAGATGGTTGAACCAGAGTTTCAGTGAAAACTATAATTTCGATGAAATTTTGATGTTCTATTACCACATCCACAAGTTTGAGTTGGTTATTCTAGATTCTCTTGATGAGAGAAATTACAATTTGTTTCCTGTAAAGTAATTCTTGGAATAACAACAATGGGTTTTACTAATTAAAGAGGGTAATAAAAATAAATATTTTCTCCACAATTCTAATACGTATTAGAGATAGGAGAATTGAACATATCATTGTAACTGGAAATTGCAATTCAGTGTGCAGCAACAATGATTTTCCAAGAGAGACTGAATGACTTATAAAAGACTTCATATAAAGATGTAGAATAACTATTCACCATATCATGCTTTAATAAGTGGACCAAAGAAAAATCCACCAGGCAAGATATCCAAATCACTATCTTGCAAGGAAGAGTCAGATGCTGTTTCAATATGGCAGATACAGCTTGATAAGATAGAGCTGTAAGAATGGAGTGAATGCCTTACCAGGCAATTGAAACGGTATTCCCTGGGGAAAAATGCAACCTTGAACACCAGAATTTTGATTAGCTGGAACTTGTTGCCCTGCAGCTAAAATCCAAATAATGTTATTTCATAAAGGACTCTATGACCACCAAAAAAACGCAGTATAGATAGTTACTTTATCATACTTTAGTCAGTGGACCAAAGAAAAACTGACTTGGCAAGATCCAGATTACCATCTTGCCAAAAAGAGTCAGATGCCGTTAAAAAATGGCAGATACAACTTGATAGGATAGAGCTGTGAGAATGCAGTTAATGCCTTACCAGCTAGTTGAAGCGGTATTCTCTAGGGAAACATGTGATTTGAACACCAACATTTTGATTAGCTGGAAATTGTTGCTCTGCAGCTATAATCAAAATAATGTTACTTCAGAAAGGAAGAAGTGAATACAATATATTAAGTCCTCAAGCATTGAAACATTACTGAGAGATATGTTTAACAAAATTATACACAGAAAAGAGGGAAAAAAAAAAAACCATTTTAAGCTCATAGAGTATACTTCAGCGAATCTTACCATAAAGAGTTGAGCTCAACTATGAAATTGTGGTAAATGGACATGAAACTTCATAAATCCAACCGTACTTAAAAAGCTACCAGGTCAAAGTTACCCTGTTCATTCAACGAACTATTGGACCTGACATCTTCATTCCTCAGTGGTGGGGAAGTAGAAGTCGGTATATCATCCCTATTTTGCGTCTCCTTACTTTCCATTATGGATACCCTAAAGGCAAAAAAGTCCACTCAAAATCATTGTTTCTACCATAGAACAGATTTCTAAGAAGTAAACTGTATCAAACAACAGAACCAAGAAACAGAGAGTGAATTGATAGCATCAAATTCAAAAATTGTTAGAGAATAAAGGAAGCATGATTAACAACAATGGTGATCAAATAAATTCTAACTACACAAAAGCAAACAAGAAATTCAGTTAACCAAAACATTTCACAGAACCCATTTCATCATCTAAGAGCGAGTCAAATTCTTCCAAACACATTAACCACAATCCAGAATCTTTTTCATCACTATAAAGAAACAAAAAGAAAGGAATCCCAGTTTAAAAAAAGATTCAAAAGGGTTGAGAATCTTGGTACAAGAATGTGATAGAAACAACTCAATGTTGAAAGATTTAAAGATAAATAGATAAAAAAAGAGTGGTAATTAAATTGAAATACAAAGAAAAAGAAGAGCTTTACCAGAAACAAACAGATGAAATTGAAGGCCAAAGGACTCTAATCTCACCACCACTGAAATTTTCTTTTGGGAGTTTTGGCGAGTTTTTGAAGAGAAAATTTAGCTGCCCGGTCTCCCAAGTCTGCATTTAAGAAAATGGCCTTGATACTGTTCATCAAATATTTTATAATTTAGAGAAGATGACGTGGCATAGTTAGGATTAATTAAACACGTAAAATGGGTTAAAATAAAAAGATTAAAACATATGTGGGCTGAATCAGAAATAATGAAAGTTTTCAAAATTTGAAATTTCGCAAAACAAGCCCCACACTCTATTCACGTCGNCTTTAATTTTCAGTTTCGTCCTCCATAATATGCGAGTTTCTCTTTGATTTATTGGAGAATGGGACATGTTGATTTTTCAGGATTTGATGAAGTGAAGATTGAAGGTTTTTGAGTCTGAATATGCTAAGAGAAAGAGGGTTAACATGCATGAAAGAGAGAGCTGAAAATGAGAGAAAAATTATGTTCAAAGTCTACTCTATTTTCTTTCATTAACAGAGAAATATAAAGCCATGTTTTCATCACTGTTATAACCAATCTACAGTGAGAATTTTTTCCAAATACAATACAATCTAAACAACTCTAACTAATACAAATTTACAATGACATATGCTGGCCTAAATCACCGGTTGTCCTTACCTAAACTGTCACATATTTCATTCAAAAAATAACCAAAAAATAGCATTTGATAGACAACCTACATCCAACTCAAATATGACGCCAAACATTCAAACTTAAATTGCAAAATAGTTTCCAGCAAAATATCACATACTTTAACACTCCTCCTTGATATTCTTGCTGGAAACTCGAAGTCTGAATCTTAATTCTTCAAACATGGATTTGCCTATAGACTTAGTCATTATATCTGCCACTTGCTCTTCTCCCTTGCAATGAATCAGTTTTACTTCACCATTTTGCTCAGCCTCCCTCACTGCATGGTATTTGATTTTGATGTGCTTTGTGTAGCCATGAAGGACTGGATTTTTGGACATTGTAATTGCTGATTGGTTGTAACAATACATCACATTAGCCTCAGTCTGTTCCAGCCTTAAATCCTTCAGAATTTTTCTCAGCCAAACCAATTGGTTGACTGAAGCAGCAGCAACAACATATTCTGCTTCTACAGTTGATTGTGCTACAACTTCCTGCTTTTTTGAAATCTAGCTTATGGCACCTGCATTTAAGAAAAAAAAAAACATATCCAGAGGTACTCTTTATATCATCTAAAGAGCCACCCTAGTCATTGTCGGTGAAACCATACAAGTTGAGGTTTTCAGCTCTCCTGAACCAAATTCCCAAGTCTGGAGAGCCTTTAACATACTTGAGAACCCTTTTTGCTGCTTACAAATGCAGCTCACTTGGTCCATTCATAAATCTGGAGAGTAAGCTTGATGCATACATGATGTCAGGCCTTGTTGCATACATGATGTCAGGCCTTGTTGCATACATGATGTCAGGCCTTGTGACAGTCAAGTACAACAAACACCCAACAATGCTTCTGTACTTAGTTTCATCAACCTTAGCAGCTCCATCATCTTTACAAAGCTTCTGATTTTGCACCAGTGGTGTGTTGACAGACTTGCAATTCTCCATTCCAAATTTTCTAAGAAGTTCATCAGCATATTTCTTTTGGGAAATGAATATACCATTAGGAGATTGAAACACTTCCATTCCCAAAAAGAAACTCATTTCACCTAAATCAGTCATCTCAAATTCATTGTGCAACTCATTCTTGAAGTCATGTAGCCGTGTGGAATTGCTTACTGACACTAGGAAGTCATCAACATACAAGGATACAAATATTCTCTCATCACCAATCTCTCTAACATATAAGGTGTGCTTATTTGGACTCTTTACAAACCCCAAACTCACCAGGTATTCATTAATCCTGTTGTACCAGGTCCTAGGGGCCTGTTTTAGACCATACAAAGCCATCCTAAGGAGATACACCTTATCCTCTTGTCCTTTAACTTTATACCCTTCAGGTTGCTCTACAAAGATTTCTTCATTAAGCCACCCATTTAGGAAAGCAGACTTCACATCAAGTTGGAAAATTTTCCACTTGAATTGGGCTGCAATTGCAAGTAGAAGTCTGATTGTATCATGCCTTGCAATTGGTGCAAAAGTGTCAGAAAAGTCCACCCTGAACTGTTGTGCATAACCCTTTAATACAAGCCTTGCTTTTTACCTATTAACTGAACCATCTATATTCAGTTTCTTCTTATAAATCCACTTCACTTGAATAACTTTTCTCTCGACAGGTCTATCCACCAGTTCCTAGGTTGCATTTTTCTCAATCATCCCAAGTTCCTCTTCCATTGCTGTCCTCCACTCCTTTACTCTGATTGCTTCATAATAGCATGTTGGTTCTATCAAGGCCATGTTGCATTTCCCATAAATCTCTACCAAAGTCCTTGTTCCTCTGACTGGAGAATCTGCTTCAGAATCTGAGCTGAAATCTGAAGCATCCTGGTTGTCTGTCAAATCTCCTCCTTGCTCCAGCATCTTACTCTTCTCAACTTCATTTCTTTCCCAATTCCACAGAGCTCATTCATCTACCTTCACATCTCGATTAACCAGAAACTTCTTTGTTTTAGGATTATAAATCCTATATGCTTTGGACAAGCTATTGTACCCAACAAATATTACAGTTTCAGCTCTCTCATCCAGTTTACTTCTCTCATTGGCTAGTATGTGTGCATAACAAATACTTCCAAACACTTTAAGATTGTTAATGTTTGGCTTCACTCCATACCAAACCTGAAATGGTGTTTTGTTGTCAAGGGCTTTAGTTGGCAGCCTATTCAATAAGTATATTGTTGTATTTACAGCTTCTGCCTATAAAAGTTTAAGAAGCTTTTTCTCAAACAACAGACATCTTGCCATCTCCATTATTGTCCTGTTTTTCCTTTCACTCACACCATTTTGATGTGGTGTGTAAGGAGTACTCAGTTGATGCTTTATTCCAGCTCCTACACATAGTTCTTCAAACTGGTTTGAGGTGTATTCTGCACCATTATCACTCAAGACAATTTTCAAGCTTAGACATATTTCATTCTCCACCATTTGTTTAAACCTCTTGAACATTGCAGCCACTTCTCCCTTTTGCTTCAGGAAATAAACCCAGCATAACCTAGAGAAGTCATCTATAAACAGAAGGAAATACCTATTACCATTCAAAGAAGACACCTGCATGGGACCACATACATCCGTGTGTATGAGCTAAAGTTTTTCAGCAACTCTCCAAGCTTGATTTGCTGGAAAAGGTTGTCTACTAAGTTTGCCCATTTGACAGATTTGGCACACCCCTTCTTTCTCCTCAATTTCAAGCATGTTTTAAACAAGGCCTCTCCTCTTCATTTCCTTAAGACCTATGTAATGAAAATGGCCAAGTCTCTTGTGCTAAATTTCAGTTTCATCAAGTTTGGTAGACAAGGTTTGTGAAACTGAGTTTTTCCATTCAATTGGAAAACTTTTTCCTAACATTCTCACTTTTATCAATTCATTGCCAAGGTTATCAACTACAATGCTTGACAGGTTTTGAAAATGCAAAGAGTAGTACTTTTCTAACATTTGACCCACACTTAGCAAACTTTGATTAATTTCAGGCACATAAAGGACATTTGAAATGTATTTTGTACCTGATGGAGTTAGGATAACAACTTCACGTCTTCTCCTGACTTCCACAAATTCTCCATTGCTAATCTTGACTTTAGATTGAAAAGACTTGTCAATGCTCACGAAGTTTGATAGATGTGGGGTCATGTGGTTTGTACAACCACTGTCAATTAGCCATACATCACCACACATCTTCTGGTTCGAGCATGAGGCCATGAAAAGCTGCCCAGCCTCTGAACTTGGTTGTTAGACCTCCACCATTGTAGCCTGTGCTCCTGCTGGTTCCCTCTATTTTTACACACTTTTTCTATGCGACCGAATTGTTTACATGACCTGCATTGTATGCCAAGTCTGAATCAACACTTATTTTCTGGATGGTTCCTCTTTTTGCAGTGTAAACATGGAGGAAATGATTTCTGTCCACCACGCTTTCCTCCATGATCATTTCTCTTCTCTTTTCCCTTCTTCTCACCACCATATTTCTTGTCTTCCCCTTGGTACACTCTTCCTTTTTGACTTGCAACCATGGTTGCCTTAGTTGAGTCTTCTTGCCTCAGCAGCCTTCTTTGCTCCTGGGCTTGAAGTGAGTGAACTAGTTCAGATAAGCTGATATGGGACAAGTCTTTAGAGTCTTCTAGGGACGAAATTTTTGCTTCAAACCTTTCAGGCAAACTGACCAAGACCTTCTCCACTATCCTCTTGTTAGTCAGCTCTTTCCCAAATAGCTTAATTTTGTTCACCACAGCCATAAGTCTGTCCACATATTCCTTGACAGGTTCAGCCTCTTGTATCTTGAGTACCTCAAATTCTCTCCTCAAGTTTAAGACTTGCATATTGCGAGTCTGACTACTCCCTCCAAACTCCTCCTTGAGGATATTCCAAGCTTGTTTAGGGGTCTACACGCCATGATTCTGGAGAAGACTTGGTCTGTCACAGCCTAGTGTATACAAGACAAAGCTCTTAGAGCCTTGGCTACCTCTTCTTCGTGGATTCTCATCTGGACCAGCGTCAGGTTTGGTCCAAGTTGGGGAACTTGCTTCTCCTCCTCCACATATTGCCACAAACCATGGCCTCTCAAGTAGGTTTTCATCTTGACAGCCCAAATATGGTACTGGTCACCATTGAAGATAGGAGGAGAAAGTGGGGCAGGATTTGATGCCATAAGGAAGCTTCACTTACGGTGGTTTTTTTTTTTTTTTTTTTTTTT